GGATGAGGCAATCATTTACAGGGTCCTTCCACCCCCCTCCCCCACCCCATCCCCCGCCCCCCTACCCTTCCCCTTCCCAACCATTCCACTCCTCCTGCCCTGCCCCTCTCCTCTCCCTCCCCACCCGTCCTCCTCCCCCCCGTCCCTGACCTCCCACCCCACACACACCCACCTCACACGCCACTTCCCCCCACCCCCCCTCTGGCCCCGCCACCCCCCCTCCCCAGCCGCGCCCTGCCCCTCCTCAATCCCTCACCCACTGCGTTCTCCAAACCCCCCCCCTCCGCCTGTACCCCCCTCGCCGATGCCCTCTACCCAACCATTCCACTCCCTTCCCCTGCCCCTCTTCCTCAGTACCCTTCCCCTTTCCAACCCCATCCCTGCCCCTCTCCTTTCCCTCCCCCCTCCCCCACCCGCCACAACCCCCCCTGCCCTACCCCACCCGCTGCCGACCCGCTGCCCTCGCATACCCCCGCCTTCGCCCACCCTCTGCCCCCCCACTCCCCCCCTCCCCAGCCCCGACCCCCCCAACACCCCACCACCCCCCCAAATACCATCCCCTCGCCCCCCGCCCACACCCGGCCATACCACACCCCTCCCCACACCCCTTCCCGCCCCCCCCACCATCCACCCTTCCCACCACTGTTTTTACCCCCCCATTGCTTTAAGGTTCCAACACACAGTCTTCCACCCACTAATCTTTGCATCTTGCATCTTGCATCTCTCTCAAGCCCGCTCCCCTAATCCACCCTCCTCTCACCCCCACCTACTATTCCGCCCTAGCGCTCACATACCCCTTTCACCACGACTTCGCCTGCAGCGACGGTGAATCGGTGTCCACATTTCCGCCGGTTGTCGATGCGTCCGTCTCGCGTGGTTGATTCGACCGGCGCCTTGCACTGTGGGCACTCGTACGAATAGACTCTACCTGCCAAGGCAGCCGCCACGACTTCGCCTGCAGCAACCACGAACTGGTGTCCACATTTCCGTCGGCTGTCGATGCATCCGTCTCGCGTGGTTGATTGCACCTTTGCCTTGCACTGTGGGCACTCGTACGAATAGACTCTACCTGCCAAGGCAGCCGCCACGACTTCGCCTGCAGCAACCACGAACTGGTGTCCACATTTCCGTCCGCT